AATCTTATCACTGAAAATTCAGAATTTCATGGAAATATCAAACAGAATTGTAAATTTCTGTTCCATATTTCCCTGAAAATGAATAGAAAACCAGAAAATTCCAGTAAATATATTCTTGAATTTTCAGGACTGACACTGAATTCGATTTAGGGGGAAGAAATCATGAAATTTCAGATTTCGTTGAAAATTCAATGTAATTTGATACTGAATATTCATAGTAGATTGTAAATCCTAATAGATTAAGGAATTCTCGTCTTTGAGCCGCTTAAAAATTCAATGTAATTTGACACTGAATATAGACGTGATATTTCTCGCAAGAAATTAGTTTTGTGACATTACGACGATATTTCTCTCCCTGCCAATCCCTCGAAAATTCCAAGCTCTTCCACTTGAAATTTCCGGAGTAATTTAAAAAAAATTCAACTTTTCAGTGAAACCTGAAATTTCATTATTTTTTTCTCTTACAGTTGACGAAATTTCATTTTTTCAACCAGTGAGAGACGCGATATTTCTCGCAAGAAATTAGTTTCGTGACATTACGACGATATTTCTCTCCCTGCAAATCCCTCGAAAATTCTAAGCTCTTCCACTTGAAATTTCCGGAGTAATTTTCAAAAAATGTAAATTTTCAGTGAAACCTAAAATTTCATTATTTTTTTCTCCTACAGTTGACGAAATTTCATTTTTTCAACCAGTGAGAGACGCGATATTTCTCACAAGAAATTAGTTTCGTGACATTACGACGATATTTCTCTCCCTGCCAATCCCTCGAAAATTCCAAGCTCTTCCACTTGAAATTTCCGGAGTAATTTAAAAAAAATTCAACTTTTCAGTGAAACCTGAAATTTCATTATTTTTTTCTCTTACAGTTGACGAAATTTCATTTTTTCAACCAGTGAGAGACGCGATATTTCTCGCAAGAAATTAGTTTCGTGACATTACGACGATATTTCTCTCCCTGCCAATCCCTCGAAAATTCCAAGCTCTTCCACTAGAAATTTCCCGAGTAATTTTCAAACAGTAATACTTTTCCCCGTAATTGAACATATTACGAAATATTCACTTGTTTAAGATCGGACTCGCCGATGCTTTGTGGCCACATGACATGGATACACACAAAGACGCTGGCAAACTCCATTGGACTCCTGAGTGAAGGGAGGGGATCAGTGCAGTTTACCTGGATTGTAGGTATGCACGAGAGCGGTGGGCTAGTTGTGTGAGGGCATTCCTGCGGCGTTGCCGGGTCTTCTCGTTTATATCCAAGGAGAGGAAGAGATGCTGGAGAATGGGAAGGAGGTAGGCTGAGATGGGCTGAGAGAGAGGGAATGAGTGGAATGAGTGAGGAAGGGAGTCAGAGAATGGAAGAATACAGGAGGGGAAGGGCGGGGGGGGGGGGGAGGGGGGGGTTGGGAGNGACGAGGGCGAAGAAGCGTGGAGCTTTGAATATAGAAAGGTAAAAGGCGTAAAGATGGATAAACTCTAAGGGAGCAAGTAAGAGGATGGGATTAATCGGGGAGAAGCCAGCAGTGCTCGAGCTGGCCCACCAGGCGCATACTCACCGGTGAGGGAAAAGAGCATACCAAACGCCAGACAGAGCCACTATTGGAACGAGTCTTTCCACCTTCATGGAGGTAATCGAGTTTGCGACTGTCTTGGCTGAATCCTGACCACTTGACAATTGAGAATTCAATGTTTCCATTCAATGTCAAGAGTTGATTTTTTAAAATATTTTTCTCTTGCTTTGAATTTTTACCGGAAAAAAATTTCTCACATTCCGTGAATACCTCTTGGCTCTAGAGAGCGCTAACGAATTGAATTGGTTACAACTCTTGTCGGCTGAGTTTTATGGGGATGTTACTGGCTTAAATCTCGGTGAAATCTCACGCCCTAATTCACCATTTGAGTAATTTATCATTGGCGCACATTCTGGAGGTTCTTCGAGATGATAATTATGGAATGGTGTGATATTTCTGAGCGGTTAGGGCTGTGAATTGATGCCGTTTCGGTAATAAAATGTCCATCAGCGGGGGCTCCATTATCGGAAACCTTGGGGACGAGAAAAAGTGGTGATTATTTTAGCTTTCGCGAATATTCTCCGGGGTATTGAGACAGTTTCGGAATATATTCTCCATTTTGCGCCGGATTTTTTGGTAGCATTAAAACAAACATTTTAGAGTAGCTCTACCCTTACGGTAAATTCAAAGATTATTGAAAACTGCAAAAAAAATGCTGAAAACTCAATTAGATTCGGAATTCTAATTTTTTTGTCAATTTAATTATTGTTTTGGTTTTTCAAAGAAGAAATGTTTGAAAATCAGGTTTTAACCCAGTGTCTTGTGTGAAAATCAACATTTCCATTGTAATCAAAGATTAAAACCTTTTTTTTCTTTTCATTAGATGTGAAAAAATCAAGAATTTTTTTGACACCTTATAAAAAATAATCCACCGTTTTGCAAACAAGTGTTATTATTTATTTATAAGAGGGAAATGTTTGAAAAAATATCAATATTCTACGAAATTTAATTTAGATAATACTGACTGGGTATGAACCCAGAATTTTTTCAAATTTTTTCCATGCAATTTAGTTGGAAAATTTATAAACTGAAAATATCCAAAAGTACAGCGTAGCCCGACCGAGGGGTAGAGCTACTTTAAGCTACGATTGAATTAATTTGAAGCATGATATTCAAAGATATCCCCAAAATTCTGATTGTCAAAAAATAAAAAAATGTTGAAAATTTTAAATTTAACGATTAAATTTGGACGATTACAATGCTTCCATGCGGAAGCAAACAATAGGCGAATTAAGTCAATCGAGACAAGAATCATCGTTGGCTTCCTCTCAGCAGAAGGTACTGTAGACGGAAATAGGTTTGCTGAAATACTTAGGAAGTTGAAGACTACACCCCTAAAGTTTCGACAAATACATTACGCGTCGAGACTAAAGTTGGTGAAAAGTATCCTAATTAGTACGGAGTGCTCGAGGAAAAGTACTGAAGAGTGGTTTTCCGATAATTCCCCATGAATTCGAGAGATAAGCCATCATTTCCAATCAACGTTTTCACTCCGAAATCACATTATTGTTCTGTATTGAATTCGTAGACCGCATTTGGTGCTGTCACGCGATATTTCTCAACTAAAACTCGAAACAGGGAAAATGGAACACGTCTTCTGCTCAGAAACATGGGAATTTTCTGTCAAAAATATAATTTCATCAGTTCACTCACGTACTCCATAAAAAAAAAAACAAAGAAAACCTAATTTTTCGAGATTGCCCCGGAATATATAAGTGAATTGTGCATGAGAGTCGGAATGATGCTACCTAGAATTTCAACACAACAGCTCTAACGATTCACGACGTGCAGGTATATTTTCAAGAAAGCATCACGCGTAGTCATGAAGACCGACTCGGTCACGTATCTTACCCGGTATTTCCTAGTACGGACAAACCATTCTGGTTTAAAATAGAGTGCATTAGATAAATTGAGGTGAATTTCTGCTAATCCAGTTTCATTTCATCTTTTTCACATGTTGACACATTGCATGCACTCGAGTTTTCAGGAAGATTTATACATTTCAGGTTTACAATAATCTCAAAATGAAAATGACAAGCTCCTGCATTGAGACAAATTTAGTATCTTGTTGTTACGTTGTGTAGGCTAAACGCACAATTTTGCTTCCGAATGGAAGCCTTGGATTTCGGTGACTTTTCGATTGTCTAATTTTTATTGCAAATGGTTTAGAATGTTATGGAACGTGAAGAAATGATGTTTTTAGGGCCATGTCTGTGTGTATGTATCCGACAAATTGGGTTTTTGAAATTTTCAAAGCTCAACTCTCCAGTAGCTCCTGAGATATAACAACACTACAAAAACCAGGTGTCTGACAGCTGTCTGAATTTAACATGTCAAATGGTAGAAAACGTCTGAATCTTCAAAAGTGTCTGAAAATCTGACTGTCTGAAAATTTCAATCACCGTTTCTGTCTGAAAGTGATGGTAGACATTTTTGATGTCTAAAAATTTCAGTTATTTATTTTCAGATATTTTCTGTCCCTGAAATTCAGTTATTTATAAGCGATTCAAGCATTTCACTGTTAAGATATCTCACCTGATTCAGATGGCAAAGTCCATTCAAACATTAATTTTTAAGATATTTCTCATGTCTGAAATGTTGACTCATCCACTGCAAAAACTAGGTGTCTGACAACAATCTAAATTTAAGTTGGCAGATGGCAAAAAACATCTGAATCTTTAAAAGTGTCTGAAAATCTAACTGACGTCTGAAAATTTCAAACACCGCTTGTGTCTGAAACTGATGTCTGTATCTTAATTTCAGACATCTTGTTGTCTGAAATTGAAATAACTCCATTGATTCAGACACATTTTAATGTCTCAAAAGTGTCTACAAAATCGTCCCAAAAGTGTTTGAAAAGTGTCTACAAAAGTATCTGAAATTCAGACATTAGTTTCCGCAGTGGTCAAGTACTAAAATTTCTGCTCGTGTAAGAAAACATCTATCTACTTTCTTTTATTTGACAAAAAAGGGGAGGAGAATAGATTAAGCCCCGTTCGTAACACTACTTCCCCTCCGAAAAGTTACTTTTCGCACGCTCTCGAACTTTACGCACTAGTAACGCAATATACTATCACGTCACACCGTGCAGAAGTCGAGTTTGAAACACGCTGCGCTTATTGCACGGCGCGACATAAATTCATTATATTCATTATATTCACTTTGCTTTCATTGACGTCCGAAAGGTCGCCGCCCCGACTCCGCCTAAAGCACCTAAAAATTCTGGAATTCATAATCTCCTCATAATTGAAAGCGGTCCAATGAAGATTAATCGTCCGAAAAATAAAAAAACGGTTCCTCATTCTCGATGCATCAATCTACCTTCAATGAAGCTCTAGAGGCTGAGAGCGACAATCTAGCTATCATTCGTCATCGCTTTTAACCATTCAACTTGGCCACATTCTAATGAAAAAATATGGCATTTACCTTGTTCTGCTTTCATACAAGCGATAAGTGCAGCAACGATGACAGTAGCACAAGTTGCGATGACCCTCCACCCCGCCATATTATTCCCGGCAATTTCACAGGATTGAAGCCACAACTTTTGGGAATTCCAAATGCAAGAGGAAGACCAGTGGATAAAATTGGGTCTTCTCCCCCCGCTGGTCCTTTTGATGGATCAACGGGCTTCACTCATGCCTCCTCATCGTCCACTTCAGCTGCTGCTTTAGCAGTGTCTCAACACTGTTTTGGGACACCTTTATATTCCCACTGTCCATTGGCCATGTACCTAGGTACGACGGCTGCTTTTTCAAGTCCACGAGCATCTACCGCCCGCATATAGTAAATTTAATAAAATATTGAGCACTAATAACACAAAAAAAAAACACTTGAATGATGAGCGAAGTTGGATTCTGCGGGACTTTGAGGAATGAGCTGCCCTTTTCGAAGATTCTTTGTTTTTTTTTATTAGCGAAACGTGATACGTCGCATCCTCTTTCTCTTATCCGGTTTCTTTCTGTCAACTCTTTTCACATGAGCGATCTTTCTAAACTCCAATAGCGACGAAATTCTCCTTCCTCGCCTGCTATTTGGCATCTATCGGCTATTTCTACGCTGATTTTAGATCATTCTTCTTCTTTGGAGATCAGGTGGAGGCTGGAAAACAAAAAATAACAGAATATTAAACCTAACGTCCAGAATGTGTTGTGATGCTGCGAGACGCTCTACGAGACAATACTTTGGAGAGATGATGTCGGTCTCAATGAACATGGAAATCATTGCTCTCGTCTCATGACTCCTCTGATGACTCCGAGTCAATTTATCTCATCTCTATCTCAAGTTTTTCGTGCTTTTTAATGTAAAATCTCGGTTGTTGTCTCGGTTTGTCTCATATCGGTTTTCTACATGAGATGAGACAAATTGACTCGGAGTCATCACGAGAGGAGTCAACATTGCGTACTTCGAGACTGAGCCGACAGTAAAGATTTCCACGTTCACTGAGACCAAGATCACCTCTCCAAAGTTTTGTCTCGTGATGTCTCGTGAGATGTCTCGCAACATCACCAGAATGTACAGTAATTGAGAAACCATTACTAAAAAACCAAATGGTTTCAAAAAATTTCCAACAGGTGTTCGAAAGTTCAAATGACTCAACAAAAATCACGGTTCAGCATCACAGAACCCTGACAAATGTTCCATCAACCTCGATAATTCCAATTTCCCCATTCACTGGACAAAAAAGATGGAACGGTTAAGTATCATCTGCTGAATTATTCCACACCATTAAGTGGCTGTGGTCTCCCAATTTTGCCCCTATAATTCAAGGGCAAGGTTACACTAACATCTCTGAATTTTTCGCATGGCCAAATGATGATCGGCTGGCATCAGCCATTATGAGAGGTAGGAGAGACAGGTGAGAAGCATGGAGGAATATGGGGGGGAGAGATGAGGCATTAAAAGTTTGACGCTGTTCATGAGCCAAAGAAAAGAGGGAAAAAGAGGGCTACGAGAGAGGAAGAGAAACGAAAGGGGGAGATCATAGCGAGGCGTTGGTGGAAGCGTCCAAAAGGGGTTGAATCTCAGGATCAATACGACGCATTTACACCCTTCTCCGCCTCTGACGCCCAACTGTATCCTAGCTTGCTCTATCTCTCTTATTCTTCAGTATTTTCGTTTCACCTTCTTTTTCTTCATTCACCCCTATTTGACCGTGTCTTTCTCCCAGAGTGTTGCGCACACTCCGGGGAATTCACTGCGTGTAGATTCTTATGAGACAAACTGAAGTTGACGAAATATTTAGGTAACACGGCGGAATTTCGATTGTAATTATGATAAAGCTCTCATGTTATTTTGGTGAAATGAATAAATCGATTTGACCTCGTGTTGTAGCCTGAACAAGTGGGAAAATTTCCTAATCTTGCTGGTAAGTTGTTCGACCCTCGCCAAAAAAAAGTATCTCCGTTCTTGTTTCGGAATGTACTATTGTTTTTCCGACAAAGGAAACTTTGCTCTCGCCATATTTATCGAAAAGTAGAGTAGCTAGAGTAGCGGTTTTCAGAGAGTTTCGACCGCCCGGGGAATTTAATCTCCAATTAATTTAGTAGACGCCAATAATCAACTAATGCCGAAGGAATGTTTCCGTTCTGATGAACGAGTGATATGTGCAATGAAAAATCAAAGACATTGGGGACATTTCTCTGCAATTCCAATCGAAATAAAATTATATACAATGAAAAATGGATTAAACATAGGATGTTACACTGTTAGAAAATTATTCTTGAAATTTCAATGAAAAGATTTTGAAATTTTTGACAATCGCTCATTATGTTATTCACAATCTTTCATTTTGTTATTGAAAAATGAGCTTCAAAATTATCGGGTATTTCCCGAAAGCTTCATTGCAAACAAATGAGGGTGTCAAGTTTTGCAGGTTAAAAAATCCCGAGTGCTTGCGCGAGGAATTTTTCTGCAAAACTTGGGACGATGGTTTGTTTGCAGGGGAGCTTGAGGGAAATACCCGATTAATTTTGAATCTCGAATGGAACTACAATTTTCTGATCCACATGATAATGAAAATTCTAGATGTCATAATTGATGTGATAATTTAATCTGAAAAACCGAATTATCCCGAATTTTCAACCTGAATGACAGATTCCATGAACGGTTTAACCTCAAATTGAATTCAGTAGCGAAGTGGTAAACCGGTACAAGTCAATTTCGACTATTGACCAATTTTCAATGAATATCTCGGAATCTAAAGGAGATAGCAAAGTTTTTGTTATAACCTTTTTTGTAAAGCCGATTGAGAGCTACAACAAATGTAATTACAAAAATTTCGCTATCTCGCTTAGAGTCGTAAATATTCTTCAAAAACTCAACTGGGAGATGAGTCGACGTAAACCGTTTTACCGCTTCGATACTGAATTGAAATTCAGAATATCGAGAATTCAAGTGCAACTGCTGCTTAATTTTCAAAACATTTCCAACAGTGTATTCTCCACTTGGATCTAGAGTAGCTACCACTGGCTTCTTTCTTCAACCCTCCAAGAATACGGAAGCAATCTGAAGATGCATCCCCGAAATTGCGGATTTTAGGAAAGATGGTTGAAAAGGAGTGGTGCTAGTGTTGAACTTTCTTCCTCTGTGTTGCTTTAACTACACGAGTGGCATCGTGAAAAATTTAAGAAGTCCTCCCCCGCCCCCCCTCCACCCATTCACCTCCATTTCCGTACCTTTCTTCGTCATTGCTACGAGTCGGAGCCGCCACTTCTCGTTTCGAGAATCTCAGACGAGCTGAAAATGTGGGTAGTGCCTCTTTTCACTCAGGACGAGACCACTTTCTTTCGGTTTTTTTTTCCTCCTTACTTTTTTTTTCTGCTGGGGTAGCAATTGCCGAAAACATTGGTATCTCAACGTGAGCAAGACAAACAACATACGCGGAAAGAGGAAATTCCCTTGACGGGACAGGATTTCTTTTCTTTTTTCAGCGTCAAGTGAGGGCTCTTGGTTCCTTCTTCGTTCAGCTGAAGGTAAAGAGAACTGGAGGATGAGGCGCAAAGAGAAAAGAAGGACGGGGGAAAAAAGGGAGTATTGGTTGGGTGAAGGGCGGGTTTGGGCACCTTCTTCAGCGGGCAAAGACCTCCTCTTTGCAACTGTACGAGCTTGCAGAAATTTTTTTGTATGCCATGGACCCACTTCTACAACACTTCACATTGCTCCAGGGCGCTTGTGAAAAATTTGGAAGGAGCTCTCCTTTGGGGAACACTTCCACTTTTTTTTTTATCTCTATTCCTTACGATTTTTCTACCCTCTTCTTCAGGTAACACGAGTGGGCAATTTCTAATTATCACGACGTGAAAAAAAGAGGGGAAATATCGTCTTCATAAAATTCTTTAATTAGTGAAACTGGATGGAAAATAATGAGTGGAAATGTTGCGCAGGGGGAAAAACCTGTTTTTATGTTTGGGGAATTTAGAGAAAAAAATTCTAAGATTCAAGATCGAAAATATTATAGCCGAGGGGCTACTCCACTCGCAAAGTTCACATTTCGCGTTAAATCACCAAGTTCAAATTTCGCGTTAAATCGCGAAGTTTAAATTTCACGTTAAATTGCGAAGTTTAAATTTCACGTTAAATCGCAAAGTTCAAATTTCGCGTTAAATCACGAAGTTCACATTTCGCGTTAAATCGCAAAGTTCACATTTCGCGTTAAATCGCGAAGTTCACATTTTGCGTTAAATCGCGAAGTTCACATTTCGCGTTAAATCGTAAAGTTGACATTTCGCGTTGAATCGCAAAGTTAACACTTCGCGTTAAATCGCAAAGTTCACATTTCGCGTTAAATCGCCAAGTTCACATTTCGCGTTAAATCACAAAGTAGCCATGATTTCGGGAGTGAGTAGCTCTTCGATTATGTCACTAAGACTCAATGAGAAAATCATGCCATGAAAATAAAGAATTAAGTCCTTGTCGCCAAGCCACAAATACACTTTGAATAGAAAATGTATATTTCTCTTCCACAAAAAAAAATAAAAACAAATTCGGGGCAATTTGAGTCCATATAATTTTGGGCGTTCCCTCCCCCAGTCTCTGTACACCGGTGAAATAAATTTCAACGAACATGGCTTTAAATTTATCGAAAATAGAATGTGCCTCGTGGCTGTCTCGGGCTCCGCGGGTTTTTCTACGAGGGCGATAGCGTAGTTGATGAGGAACATCAAAAGAGGAAAGGAGAAAAAAAAAGATAGTTATAAACTATGTTTCCTGCGTGGGCGGCGGTGATCTTCGGGGCTAATAATTCGTCCCGGGTATGAAATTTGTTTCCTCTCTACCTTCCATCTTCTTTCACAAAAGAAGATGAAAAAAAAAACTCGAGTTTTCTCTGGTTTCTTCGATGGATTTACACGACTGAAATGATGAGACTAAGACACGGGGGATATCCCAGCCTTCCCATAAAATGGTGGCATTAAAATAAATTCACGGGACGAAGATCTTAAATTTACCAGAAATAGAATTTGTCTCAGGGGTTCATAACTTCATGATTTCATGCACTCGCATATTTATTTTCTTTGTTGTTCTTTATTCATTTCATTCAAATAATTTTCAACTCCCGCTGAAAACTCATGAATTTCATAACCATTTTTTGCCTAAATCCAATTCATTGTCACTCTCGTGAGAATGACTACCATATTTTCCATGAAATTTCAAAAAATTTCTAACAGTGCAATATTGGATTTTTATTGCATTCAGTGTCTCTCCATTCCAATCTCACCTATATGGCAACTTGAACTCATTGAAATACTTCAAACATTTTTCATTCACTTATACGAATAAACAAAGCACTTAGCGAAGTGAAACATTTCTTTATTCCAATGGAGGAATGATAAAACTCTTTCTCTCTAAGTATCGGGCTTTCAGCAGAAACAGTCGCCGTCGTTGCCGGGTAAATGGTATTACCGTGTTATAGCCCCTGTGACATTACGCAGAATTGTGCGTCCATATACGTACAGCACGTGACGAATTATATTGAACGTACGGTGGAATAGGATTGAACCGGAATCTCAACGTAAAAAATTAAACTGCCTTCATTGTACGGGTTTTTTTGCATGAGAATACGATTATTTAA